TTCTCTGTTAGGCTTTTCTAGTGGTGCACCTTTGTGCACAATAAATGAATGAATAAATAAATAAACAAATAAACAAATAACGGTATCTTGGATCGCGATGCGTGGATAGGTCAAGCAGAAGCCTTAAGGCTATCGTCTTGCTATCGTCTTGTTTCATTCACGACCCCTTTTCTAATACAACTGCATGGGTATAATTTCGCTACGAAACCTGCAGAGACACGATGAAAAGAAGACTGCCGAACGGAGGCGTTAAACAAATTTTGACGGGACGAAGTCTGAGAGAAAGAACGAATGTCGTGGCTATTCTGACGAAAGGTTTTCAGCGTGGAAGAAATGTTCAGATCCCCGTTCACATTTTTCTCATTACAAATGACGAATAAGTTGAGAAGGTTCAGATCGTTTTTCGTAACCATTTTTTGTCTTCTATTATGGATTGGGTCAGAAGTTGTGCTACGTGTATCGCTTATTTTTCCCTTTAAAAATATGAAAATCAACCAGAACATCTTCATCGGAAAAAGTTCAAGATACTACTTGGAAACTACGATGCACCTACTCACGAATGGATATGATCAAGACTGGTGCTAAGGAAATGTTCTCGATTTTATCTCCGCTTCCAACTTGCTCGCAAACTTCACGGTCTAATACATCAGTGGGTATAATACATACCGGAGAGGAAGCTTGCGCTCCAGTACACACCACTTTTACGACCTCTAAGAAATCATTGAAGAAAGCCCGTACTGGAACTACCCAAGAACTCGATGCATAGTGAATAGTCCCCAAAATTTACCCTGTAACAATGTGAATTGCGATTTCTGTGCGACATTTATTGTGTTACCATATTTATGGCTACCCTATATAATACTAGAAGAATTTGGTGGCAGGTTTGGTGCTGGGTTATGAGCTCATACAAAAAGTTTTAGAACACTCAGCTCATTGCATTTGAGTCTTGTTCGGCTGATTTGTTGACCTATCCCTGACCTTTGCCCACTGTCCGATGCACCAAACCTCCCATACTGGAGCAACTTCTTCAGGCGATACCTAATTTCGGGGAGGATAAAAGTTATAATTTTTTCATCTCAGCTCCACCCACCTCATTGCAAGCCCCGCCCGCTTCCACGAACTTGACCTCACTTCTTCTGTTACCTATAAACACATTTTCCGCATTCTAGAACGTTTCTGAACAGAGTTCAATTCTCTTTACTCTGTTCAGAAACGTTCTATTAAACTCATTTTTGAGCAGTAGTTTCCGTTTCAACCCACGCCCCTCCCATCATGGGCGGAGCTTCGTCGAGATTACGCATGCTCAGTACGCAGAAAGCTTTACTTGCTTCTTTTTTTGGCATTTAAGCCTTCGTTAAATCGGGTTACGAACCTATGTGGAATGTATCGCCCACTGCGAGAACGCTCCACCGGCCCCCGGTGGGTTTCCCTCGTTGCATTTCTTGACCCATCCCTCGTCTTTGCTAGTTTTTACCCGCCGCCTGAGTGTTGTTAGACCAAATTAGGAAGTTTTGCCTATGAAACCGCCCATCTCCCACGTCTGCACATCCCCTGAGAGCGGAGCTCACATGTGCTTTGTTGCAACTACTTTGTGCAAAACCCATTCTAAACGAGCAGACGAGCGCGTGATATACAGTAAAGATGGAAAAGTATCGATTATGAATTCAGTTTTTCCTGTTCTCTGTAAAACGGCCCGAAGCGACTATGAACAGAATCTTGCAATGAATATTCACAATTTTCAGAAGTCCCTGCTTTCCCCTCATCGCGGAAAGGGCCTTCAAGGTTGGTGATGGATAGTAAAATGAAGCTATCATTCTTGCCTCTTTCAAACTAATAGGTGCCAGGAATTTCGGCTTTTTACAGGAGCTAATCCCGTGTTGGTTTTCAGGTTGACATTTACAGTTCAACAGGAAGGCTAAGGAGACCAGTGGAAAATCGAAGGTGTAGTTCAAGATAAAAATTGTTCTAGGATTTCTTCTTTGGATGAACTTGCGACCCCCCCNCCCCCCCTGGGAAGCACAACTGACGCTGTCGAATAGAAAACTGCCAAGATAGTGCGTATCGAGGGCCACAAAACCAGCTCAGCCGACGTATACACCTGAAGGCGGACGAGTTCTCACGGCGTTTCAGAGGCTGTAAAGATTGCATCTTTTGTATCGGAACGCACGCGTTGCACGCAGACAGCTCGTGGTTCTTTTTTATTCAAGAACAATTTTAATTATTGCTGTGTGACGCTTCAATCGAATGAGTAACCTAAAAAAAGGCTTTTATGCTGCATAGTGTATGAGCGAATTGGCATATTTCCTATCTAAAATGTTTTTGTCCTAATTTCCTTTTGTGAATTAACCTACAGCTCACGTTTTCGCAGTAGTCTTACTCAAAGAAAGCGTTTTCTCCCAATTCTCGTTCTGTACTCAAGAAATGACACCCATCCTGAATAGACTAGAATTCTCTACAACCTCCTAGTCCTACCATGTGAAAAGGACTTCAATATAGTTCATCAGGAGGTATGCCTTCACGAACATCTATGAATTGAAGCGGACAGTTTAATTTTAAGTTCAATAAGTTTTCAATTCGAAACGTGAAGGTGGGCAGTTTTGAATACGCTATTACGCAAGGGCTATTGCTAGATGAGCTGCCATTGAATTACAAAAAACCTCA